CAGTCTTCATTGCCTTCAATCACAGCCCACTATCAGCATGCACTCTGCCACTGATGAGGCACAAAATGGTGCTGCTATCTGGCATGCCTACATTAGAGAGTTTTTTTTTTTTTTATATATATTCCGGGGGGCGTTTCAGATCGGGGGTCTTTACGCATGCAGCTTCTTTGGCTTTCAGAAGGGAAGGCTTCAATTCTTCCATTAAGTAATTTATTTTCTTCCTGGTTTGCTAAGAGGCTTTTAGCCTGAGCTTTCCTTTGACACTCTTAGGAAAAAAAGAGAAACAAGCTACCTGTGCTTCTCGGTGTGACAGTGTGTTTTGCGGTCTAAATTAATGAGATTTACAGTGAATAACATCAATAATACACATGAAGGGGAAAAAATGAGAGAAAGATGTCAGACGAGCTGTAATTTTAGCAAGGTTCTCCATTAAAGGGGTAAACAAAATTAACTACTCAAGTGCTGAAACATCATACACAAGAGTCAAATTATGTTATCGAAGAGATGTCGGTAACACATTATGACTGCGTGGCGTCATCTGATGTTCCAGCAGGTTGAATGCAGGATATTGCGAGGTTTTGAGAAAAATGGAGAGAACAAAATATAGGTTATTACAAAAAAAAATAAAAAAATCTACACATATACAACTAAAAGAAAAAGATAGGAAAAATGTTCAGTGATCATACTAGTACTTCTTCTCAGGCTGAGTGTTTGACTCACAGGATGCGTACTTCTCCATAAATAAAATATACACTTCCTCTGTATATTTAAGCGGGACTAAACCACGAGAATGCCCCCCGCCTCCAAAAAAAACGTACATTAGCTTGCTACCAAATTCAATGCCATTTAAAGGTTTCAAGTCAGTAAGACTTTTTGTTCTGAAAGAAATTAATGTTTATTCAGCAATGACATATTCAATTATCAAAAGTGATAGTGATAGTGACTGATAATAATCGGAAATGCTACTTGAGCACCAAATCAGCATATTAGAATAATTTCTAAAGGATCATGTGACACTGAAGACTGGAGTAATGGTTGTTGAAAATACATTTTAAAATATGTTCAAATAGAATAATTTATTTTTTAATTGTAATAATACTTCCAGTATTACTGTTTTACGGTAGTTCTGATCAAATAATTGCAGCCTTAGTGAGCTTTTTTGTTGTTTAAAAAATTTGTCACTTTTGAACGGTGGTGCAAAACAAAACGAATGGAGGAAAATACACAATTTTGCAACTAGAATGCAAAAATGTGGTCATCAGCAGTATACTTAGGGTCTACTTCCTCCATTTAGGCAACTACTGCATCTCAGTGGGTTTTCCTTATTACTGTTAATGCCAGGTTAAAAACTTACCAAACAAATGTCCATGTTGCACTGCACTACAGACCTCAAAAATAAAATGAGATTTCAGATTAGCCATCTATATGCCATTGAACTCCTAAACAATGACAAAATACACTTTTAGCATATATACACTCTTAAAATGTACAGGTCACGAGTCACGTTACAAATTTTGATGACTCATCCTGCACTACACCACTTTGTCCAATCAAATGCTCAAAAACAAGAATGCCCCTCACCCTAATGTGACATACAACCGAATAGCAAGTAGCAAGCCATGTGGCGGAGACATAACCAAAGCTTAAAAAAAAGTCTCCTCCAAACTTAATAGAAAATATGTCAACGCAGGAAAGAAACTGCGGTTTTCATGGGGTTTTAAACAATTTGCAATGTGCTATTAGGTTGCATCTGACAAGGCAAACAATTTGACAACAAAACCCTTGACAAGAAATGGAAATGACAAGAGTCAGACAGAGAGAGGCTGAACACAAAAAGTCAATTTAAAAAGACGTGATGGACAAGGATGAAAAGCACTCTTCAGTAGCCCACATTTCTGATAGACTAAAACAGCATGAGCAGATTCAAAGATGAAGCTGAACTAGGGCTGGACAATAATTCAATATCAATATGTATCGCGATATAATTTGTTTCAATAATGGTGATATGATTTTTAAACACATTTCCGATATTTCGATATACATTACCAGTGTTTCCCATACATTGATTTATTTGTGGCCTTTGACTTCGTTGAATAAACATGAGCACTGCACGTTTCAAAATCAAAGCATGTCGTGGGTGTTTTATATGAATGTATCTCTGAAGGGAAAGGACTGTCTTCAGAAAAGTTTGGATGGCATTTTCATTTTATCTGATAAAGAAGCGTTCCTGAGCAGAGCTGATTTGATTACAGCCGTTACCAGGGAAACCGCTAGTTCTACCGCTCTCAAAGCGCCTCCTGCTGGCGGAGAATCAGTTTGCATTTTCAATAAGCCCGTTTCCAGCAACATGTTTTTGTTGTTGCTCTTTTTTTTCTTTCTGCAGCAACTCATACTTTTCACACTCTTTATACTGGCTAAAGCACATTTGTTTCAATCTATAAGAATAATCAGCCTACACTACCAGTCAAAAGTTTTTGAACAGTATTCCTGTGATCAAAGCTGAATTTTCAGCATCATTACTCCAGTCTTCAGTGTCACATGATCCAGAAATCATTCGAATATGCTGATTTGCTGATTATCAATATTTAAAATAGTTGTACATTTTTTTTTCTTGATTCTTTGATGAGAAAGTTTGATCCAAAGATCAGCATTTATCTGAAATAAAAAGCTGTTGTAACATTATACACTATTCCATTCAAAAGCTTGGAGTCAGTATGATTTTTATTTTTTTTTTGTGAAAGAAATGATAGAAATTAATACTTTTATTTAGCAAGGATGCTTTAAATTGATCAAAAGTGATGATAAAGACATTTATAATGTTCCATAAGATTTCTATTTCAGATAAATGCTGTTCTTCTGAACGTTCTATTCATCAAAGAAACCTGAAAAAAATCTACTCAGCTGTTTTCAACATAATAATAAATGATTTTTGATCAGAAATTCTGAAGGATCATGTGACTGGAGTAATGATGCTAAAAATACAGCTTTGAAGTCACAGGAATAAATTGCATTTTAAAATATGTTCAAATAGAAAACAGTTATTTTAAATAGTAAAAATATTTCAAAATGTTACTGTTTTTGCTGTATTTTGGATCAAATAAATGCAGGCTTTGTGAGCAGAAGAGAATTCTATCAAAAATTTAAAAATCTTACTGTTCAAAAACTTTTGACTGGTATGTTAGCCTATAGTTTTAAGTTAAAGATATTAATATTAATTAGGTGAGTCTGAGACGATTATTTGACAGTCATTTCACATTTCTTGTTTGTATGAAGGCTAAATACAAATAAAAGGTGAACATTAATTTATTTGTGCTGGGTTTCTTTTTCTAAAATATTATATGGTTTTATATGAGGTGTCATAGACTTGGCAAATTCATTTTTCATAAGTTTGTATGCACAGACATCTGTTGTGGGTGTTCTTGGCAGTTTTTACGACGCTTTTTTTAATAGTGTTCATATCGATATCGGAATTATATCATATTAACCGAAATTAAGAAATATATCATGATATAAATTTTGGCCATATCGTCCAGCCCTAAACTGAACCAGAGATAGTTTCACAAACAAACCACTGCAAAATTAGAGCCAGGCAAACAAATATTTTTTTGGTGTATAACTGTTAATTAAATTCTAAACAGAATCATTATGAAAAAACACTATTCTGCGACCTGGCAGATACTAATATATAATACACTGACATTATTCCAGAAGAAAATATGCAACTTTCATTGCAGTTTGAATTAAAAGATTATGAATAAAAATTAAAATAAAATGAAAAAAAATACACTTACGCAACTAGGGCTTCAAGTCAGCCTAAAGCAAAAACATGCAACTTTTTCAGTGACAAAGTCACATGATTTGTGTGGAGCTGAAGGTTCCTCATTGCACATTAGCTCAGCTGGGTGTCACGTGATTATGTCACATGAGAGGGATCATCACTCAATCTGTCTATCTCTGTGCGCATTAGCTATTGCGTGAAAATTGAAAACAAAATCATAAAAACATCCATTCCGTTCACCAAATACAGATCTAAACAGCACATCTAATATAAATACTATCAATATTATCAGTATTAAACTGATGGAGGTCAATAAACCACTCACAGACGGAGCCTTCAAACAATCACGTTACTACTTTTAAAGACCAACCTTAAGAAATCCATAACAAAAATATATTGTTTACTGTAGTTTTGAATGACTATTTCACATCAGTTTAAGCGATCTGGCTATAAATAATTAAATTTAGCCCAGCTCGGCTAGCTAAGTTAGCATGTTTACACTTGCTTAGACCTTCAAGTGAAGTGACATGTGGCCAAGTATGGTGACCCATACTTGGAATTAGTGCTCTGCATTTAACCCATCCAAAGTGCACACACACAGCAGTGAACACACACACACACCGTGAACACACACCCGGAGCAGTGGGCAGCCATTTATGCTGCGGCGCCCGGGGAGCAGTTTGGGGTTCGGTACCTTGCTCAAGGGCACCTCAGTCGTGGTATTGAAGGTGGAAGAGAGCGCTGCTGTACATTCCCTCCTCCCACCTACAATCCCTGCCGGTACAAGACTCAAACCCGCAACCTTTGGGTTACGAGTCTGACTCTGTAACCATTAGGCCACGACTTCCCCACGATTTTTTCAAAGACACCAATGTTTATTCGCTTTCTTATTAAAATTAGCTTAAAGAACACACTTATTTTGTTTATTTACACAATGAATGTTCAAGAAATTAGTAAAAAAATAACATTTTTAAAGGCAAAAGTGCTGATCGATTAACTATTAACAGCTCAAGCTAGTGTTAGCATGACAGCTGTGCTACTTTGACTCCAACATGACATTTGCAAACACTAGCGATAATAGATCAGCTCTGTCCTGGAGGTGTTTAGCCTCTGATGCAAAGGCAAAATGCAGATTAAAGAGCAGTAAAGAGAATAAAACTAGAGAGAAACGCCATATGTGTTGCTGCTGTTCGCTGTATGAATGAAGGCTAACGGCACTCACTCAGTCGGGGCTGGGAGATGTAGTTTCTGACCACGGCTTGAGCGTGCTGCCGTGCCGCTGCTTCAGGGCCGTTCAGATCCACGGGCCGATTCGCCACTAATGTAGACATTGTTATTATTTTTCTTAATTAAATTAAATGGTCTAAGTGTAAACAGATCTGCGCTGAGAGCGGATGAACAGACGGAGTCATATGACAACCGTGGTCAGGAAGTACCACTCGTGCACACACACGTCAAAAACGTGCGCGTAAGCGCTTACAAGCGCGTGCATGAGTCAGCAAGTGTTCACGAATTTACACAGTTTTCACGAATTAACACTTTTGTGTTCCATGACTTGTGAGAAATGCTCACTGAGAACTACTAGATAATACTTCTGATACAATATTATCTAACATAAAATCACTTAACACTAGGTTTTTGCCTGTTCCACCTTATAGGTATTGTCTCTCTCTCTCTCTCCCTCTCTCTCTCTCTCTCTCTCTCTCTCTCTCTCTCTCTCTCTCTCTCTCTCTATATATATATATATATAAGCATAAACATGTTATCACAGTGGATTTTTTGACATTGCTGGAAAAAAAGAATTTTTAATGCTGAAAACATCTCTTCATAATTATCTAAAATAATTACAAATATAAAATGAAAATAATTAATTTCATAGGTATTCACACCCTCAGTCATCACTGGTACAGTCACTTGGTTTTAGAAGTCACATTAGTAGTTTATCACACAGACTCACTCAAGGCTGTAATCATTGACAGAGGTGCATTTAAAAACTGACTTAAAGAGGATGAATACATAGGAAAATTATTACTTTATGTATAATAAATATAATAAATTGGAACTAATTTGTAAAAAAAGAAATCACTTTGACATGAATGAATATTATTCTGTTGATCAGTGTCAAAAAAGTCCAATTAAATCCTCTTCAGTGATGTAAAACAATAAAACTCATAAGAGGTGAATATTTTTATAACTGTAAATGAATTAGAAAATGAATGCATCACCTTATTTTACTGAGGTGAGGGCCTTACTTATGAAATAGCAGCATAGTGTTAATTAAGGCTTCAGCATTGAAAAGAAGGCATACAATTTTGAAAAGTTTCTTACATATTAAACTGATTTGAAATGTTCTTATATTCAGAGCTTCATGCATTACCATCCATTTACATACATTGCGTTTTTATATAACAGACTAAGGCTTGTATAATCTTTCGACAGATATCTCTTGATTCCTTGCCTAGATGCATGCTTTAATGAAAAATACATCTTTACATTGTATACGGTGAACACACACACACACACAAAATATGACTTTGAACACAAATAGCAACTTCTTAATTGTTAAAGTCAACCAGGTTTTTTTTTTATTCCACCCAATAAATCTGCTACATTGCAACAACAGCATTTCATAAGTACAAAAATGTTAAAAATGAATTATGAATTACAATACCCATAATCCTAAGAGAGCTCCACCAATAAGATAATTCACCGTTACTATGGAAACACAAATGGCAGCAAAAAAAAATTCATCTGGAACCTCCCTCTCCTATGAAGCGCTGGTATTGACAATCAAGTTGGTATTTATTTTCTCAAACTTTGTAGTTATACATTTACAATATAATGTTTTTATATCAATGACTGTAAGTCAGTATTTAAAAAAAAAAAAAATCTTTTTTTTTTTTTTTTAAATTTTGCTTTAAATCAAAATTTGTAATGTGACTCATCGCACAGTTGGCTGATATCGAGAAAATTAATAAAAAAGCGGACGGCCACTATATTTTTTTGTGAAGAAGGCACTAACACTACAGAAATACACAGATTATTCATAAAATATCTGCTTGTCATAGTGTGACTCAAAGGTGTGTGGCCTTGGTGGAAAACAGGACATGTGCCATTATGAAGCTTTTGTCACACATTCATCACAAGCCTTTTCAGTTTTTTGGAAGCACTTAAAACAATTTCTGGCTAGTAAAACCAATGGTCATCTAGTCATGATAATATGAAATCCAATTATTAAACTAAAAGGTCTCCGTAACAACAAGCTTTTATTGTTTTATTTATTTATTTTACAGACCATTTGAATTTTAAATGCAAGTTCGCATGTGCAACATTAACATTTTCAAACAAAAATTAGACACTTGGAAATATAAACTATATGCTCTATCATCTATTTGGCCTGATGTACATAAATACATAGCAAACAAGTATATTTTGAGAAACCTTTTATGCAACGTCCTTAAAGCTTTATCCTTCTTCTGCCAGCCTTTTACTCTAAGCACATTGGATCATCTGGTCTGCAGTTACAATTCTTTCTGTACAGCTGAAAACTCACTCGCACCTGAAATCAATCATCTAATTATATAAAAGCTTACCTGGAGGAGCTGATCAAGGTTATAAGTTCCTCCAAATGGTAGATTTACCTTTAAGAATGTAACATGTATATCTTCAAAAGGATAACTCCCCAAAAATGGTTTTTTTCTCTAGTGTCAGTTTCAAGGACATAGAGACATCCAGCTGCTAACGCTTTCTATCACTCTCTGTCTCTCCATTAAGGCTTCACAGTTTTAAACTACTTGAAAGTGCTTCAGATAGAATACCACCTAAGAGCAACAAAAGACCTCAATGAGGTGACTTTTTTTCCCCAGCAGTATATGACAGGAAAGCTAAAACCTGTCCAGCTCTATATACAGGCTTTAAGAGCTCACTTTTTTTCCTTATCATCTAAGAACTAAAAATAGCTTTGCAGGAGCAAGTTATGAGAGAGTTATGGCCACTGGATAATTGAGAAATGTAGTTAGTTTTTCTCATCCTAAAATCTCAAACCTTTAGTAAAAACATTGGGGATGCTGCATATGCGGTCTTCTTAGTTCACCATTTCGCAAATTAAAATTTCTGTCATTATTTACTCATCCTCATGTCATTCCAAATCTTACTTACTTTCTTCTGTGGAACACAAAAAGTAGATTTTCAGAAGAATGTTGGTAATCAAAACAATTTTAGTGACCACTGACTTCCATTGTATGAAGAAAAACGCACACACACACACAAATCTGTGACTGTGTGACATTCTTCAAAATGTTTTATTTTATGTTCTTAAAGTCATACTGTTTTAGAGCGACATGAGGGTGAGTAAATGAGTAAATTTCATTTTGGGTTGATTAATGATTAACTTTTACAATCAACAAGAAAAAATATATTCACAAACCATTTTACTAATGAAATGTGATGCATTTCTGAGCAAAAATGGACATTTATAAGAAAGAAATGTAGGCCTGTTCGCTGTTACATTTGTAATATTTTGTGTTTATCTGAATTGATTGGACTGTGAAAAGTGGTGGGAGAGAAGGGGTTAAAAATTAGAAGACTAAAAATAAGAGGATTTGATGTCAGCAAATTGGAAATTTGTTTCAGAGGTGCAGCATTTTTTCTTTCTTTCTTTTTTTTTGAATGTTTTGTGTGTGTGTGTTTTTTCTTTCATTCAGAAATTTGTATTCAAAAATAAAAATCCGTGTCAGATTTAATTGTGCCTTTTAGATTCAATTCAAGGAAAGTTGTATTTTTGTAGAATCCATTTGCATCTGCATCTGTAACTTTCCACTCAATTATCATTATCACTCTTCCTAACTGACAGCTACACTAGATGTTTGAACACACTCTTCACACACTTATCTGTGATGTTCATTCTCCTACTAGATTTGTCTCTCTCTACATGCAGCAGGTACGATAGGTCCAAAACTCAAATCTAATGTTTGAGATTTGAAGATCCACACACACACACACACACAAACACACCCATACTGTATGCATATGAGTTTACACACATACACTCCAATATGAAACATGTTGGCAGAGAAAAGCACTAGAGTTTGGAGTGGGTGGGTGTTGCGGTGGTGATGCTGCCGTTTGTGAAGTCTCTTGAGAGTCAATCCAAATGTTTCAGACAGAATGCAAAAAATAGCAAATTAATGCCCCTGAAGAGTACCCACCCACTGGAGTCATGCCCTCGCTTAAAATACATAATCCGTTTCACAATCCTTCCACAAAAAAAAATCAGGGCTGTGTGGTGCGGTTTGGTCCAGGCGGAGGGAGGTTGGAGTGTTGATGTATTTATTATTGTTCGCTTGAAGCGACCTTGCTCCATGCAAAATCAAATTGAATCAAAACGCAGGGCTGAAACTCTGACGCTGTGGGAAATGAATCCTCTGCTACTAGATAATTGTGCTATTGTTAAAAATCAAGTGATTTTAAATTGCGCAAAATATTACACAACAATGTGAAAACATTATGAAATGGGCTATTTTGGTGTAGTGCCTCTCACAAGGGCCAACCGAACCAAACCCATATGGCTCTCCAGCGCCTCAATGAGATGCTTGTTGCTTCTAATGTGGCAATTAATTGTGTTTATACCACCTGCATAATTGCTGTTTGAAACCTGTGTGATTTGATAACAAGATCTGTATTTAATCTACCACAGCAGGGGCCGTCATTGGCATCGCTAATTATTGTTTCGAGACGTCTGCTGTGTCATATATGTAATAGGCTTAGTGTTATGCCACCTGGTTAGCAGGTTTCTGTCATAAACAGTCATAAGTATCTCTGTACTGTACGCAGCTAATCAGTTCAAACCCATTTAACTCTTATTAGCCTGTATGTAACGCCTCTAATTACACTCTCAGAAAAAAAGGTACAAAGCTGTCACTGGGATGGTACGGTAAGGTACAAAAGCTAAAAAGCACACTTTTGTACCTTATTTACTCCTAAATGCTACAAATTAGAACATTAAAGGTAGGCTACATATTACATTATATTACCTAAAGTTTACATATTAGTACTTTTTAAATAAGTACTGCCTCAGTGACAGCTTCATACCTTTTTATACCTGAATTATTTGGGATTAGATTACCATTTATTGGATTTCTTGATCACATTAATTTTTGTCAATCAGAATGAATCCACAGGAACCCTAAATTCCTAAATATGATTTACATATTCATTTAGATGTGCATAGTGCCAGAGAAAGTCATTTTTGCCTTGATGACATATCTAAAAAGAAAGACATAATGTCAGAACAGCTTCTTTAGCAAATATTTAGTAAATATTCAATCTCATCCACTGACCAAGACATGCAAATAAAAATAAGCATGTTCATATCATGTGAAACATATGTAGGCCTAAACATAGACATCATGGCACATAAGAAAATAGTTTTTAATTTTTTCATGTTGATCTAATTATTTCATGTCTACACCATCTCTTTCAATTAAATTTAAATGGGATCATTAAGGTTTTTCAGTCCAAATATGAACTGATTCTCTGGGTGCTTGGGTAGCTATTGTTGCCTTTTGTATTTTCTAATCTAATTTTCAGCTGGCATAGTAGGGTGTCTTGAAATTTTAAGGGCACTGGCAAGTCCAAGTGCCAAAGCTACTGAAGTGTAGCTGCTCCGCTTTTCGAAATCCTCTGATTGGTTTATTGGATCAGTTAGTTAGAAAAGCCTGTCAGCACACTTCAGGGAAAAACGGGGAGAGCCGTGACGGGATTTAGCGCTCCCTGGGAACATCGGGGTCACGAGTCCACTCCACGCTCATACAAGCTTCTTTCACAGCGTGCGTTTACACTCTGATCACCATATGTAAGCACAAATAAAAGAGGAAGTGAGTGACGCACAAAGAGCACAAAACACCCACAGGATGCTGCGTTTCCTCCCGCCGTAGGCTGGGGTTTAAGGGCTAGTCATGTGATGTGGGGAACGTGTTGGTGGTCTCACTCAATCCCCCCCTTCCCTCTTTCACACTCTACCCCATCGTCTCCACCCATTCCCTCACCCCCAACCACAATGCAGCTCGACCTTCAGCCTAATTGGGCTGCGAGGGAGGAGAGATGGAGCGAGGGGGGAGGGAGAAAGGAGGCCAAGACCGTTGTTTTTTTAAGAAGATTCCCAAGACTCAGAAGGGCAGAGACTGCTCAAACACTCGGAGTACCAAAGTGACAAAGGCCTTTAGTTAGAAGCCTCCAATCAGTGCATACATATAAACACGCACACATATATGTGATGGTTCAAACTGAAAGCTAAAACCGGCATATAATCAAATACAAAATGTAGGCCAAATTTCAAAATGGTTGCGACAATGGTTTGAACTCCATGTTTCTACACAATACAAGTGTGAGACCACTAAGATTTTTATGCATTTTTCATTTTTTTTTTTTGAAGTTTTATTTTTTTGAACAACCTTTATTACCAGCATATCAAACTAATTGAGGAAAAACAAACAATAAATTAATTACAGGATTTATCAAAATTGGAAAAAATTTATTTAAAGTCTATTGAATGAATATTAACCAAATTTATATTTTAAATTCAGGATTTTCAACGTGAACCCCAGACTTTTGAACCACATATTGGAAAAAAAATTATATTTAAATTTTTAATACTTAAAATAACAAAATTAAATTATAAATTTAATAACCAAAAAAAAAAAAAAAAAAAGGATAAAAAAGTGAACTGCAGATTTTATTTATTTTTTTTAAATGCTGGGATGTGGTGCTCAGGAACTCAGTGTTGCAAAATTGCACTGAAAAGTTCTGCTTTCATTTGGCTTGTCAATGCCATTCTACAGCCTTCAGACTTTGCTCTAGCATTCTAACATAAATTTACAAAAACATTTAATAAAATAAAATACTTTTCACTCTCCTGATTCTCCCAATTTCTTTTCAATAGTCTCGGTCTCTTTTAAAAATGCAACTGTGCAGTGCAACAAAATCGTAATCCAATTACAAGGACAGATTTTTTTCTAATTTTCTGGAAAAACAAAACAAAACAGTTGTCTATCTTTCATAACACACCTCAATAAAAATTGTAGTTTACCTCATCTTATTTCATTCACTGTATCTCACTGATCAGCCATATATTAATTTAAAAATCCTAACTGCACTGTAAAGCCACAGAAAACTTGTTTCCAAATTAAAAGGGAATAATACATACTACATAAACCAAACAGTTTAACCAAACCTTTGAACTGATCAACAAACCAAGACAAGGAGTAACTCTATAGGAGACATTTCTGTCTAAATGAAACTCTGATACTCCATATAAGTTGAATACATGAAGAGTAGGAGTATTTGTCATTCCATGATGTTCAGAGACATTAATTCATGCAAGGCTGCGTATCTCTCAAACATCACCACAGCAGACAAGGTCAGCCAGCACTCTGACAGAACTGGCAGTGTTAAGTGACCTTGGACGATTTACACTGATGCTGAGAACGTCACATGAAGAAACCATCACGGCATTTAGAATTTACACATGGAATGAAAGACTGAAGAGATTTGTTTTGTTTTGATTTTTTTAGTTATATATAATATATATTCACACTCATACCACGGTTCACAAACTTCAAGATATTTAACAACAACACCACCAGACCCACCCCCCCATACATTCATTCTTTCATTATTTGCAGATATACTAATTATCTATTTATTACAGACGCGAATAATTTACAATAAAATAACAACTTCAGTTATTCAATCTTCTTGCTTTTATACTACAGTAATCATACCCTGTTCGTCCCTCAGAGATCTGCCTCGTCTCAGCTCTGATAATAAAAAGGGCTTCAGATTCTTCTGGAAAATTTGCCGCGTTGGTAGAGGGGTTGCCGTTCATAGCAAATACATTTAGTCTGATAATGTGAGGGTCACTTCGATGCTCCAGAGCTTAATCCCAGGCAATGACATCTCCAAAGTTTTCTCGAAAGGTTTCAGTTAAACATGCACCTAAACATTGAAACCAGGACTACAACTTCAGTACCAGCACACACACACGCACGCACACACACACACACACACACACACACACACACACACACAGAGGAGAAAAACTGCATATTTAAGACATACAAACTCACAAATTGAGACTGCCTTCAAAACTTGTTTTGGGGAGCACCCTCACAGAAACCATTTAGAGAACAATGAACACAGGACCATTTGACTATTTAACGGTGTGACAGCGTTTTCCTTCCATTTAGTCAGAACATGTTTAACCAAACCAATACAAAATGGTATAGACATCTGATCTTATAGCTTCATATGGCAAATTCATGACCTCTGTAAGCAAATAGTGTATATAAAGACACAGTATGACTGTATTGTATGCTAACCTTTGGAAATGAACCCCAGCATAATATATATTTCATTATTTGAGACTTGGCAAACACCACTATGCAAAAATCACACATTTAGATCACTCTTCGAACTGAAAACATGAAGGATGTTGCCGTGACTTCAGTTTTTATCGGGGGTCTATGTTCTGTACTGTTTTGTTTTTACCCAGCAGCTTTCAGATTAGTTTTTAATCTGAATATAACTGTCCAGCTCCAAAAAAGGTATAAGGGAAAAAAAGTGCCCCGAAAATATTGCCTCAGCAACCATTTTCATCTCTCTTCCCCTCCATAATCTCTTGCTACATTCCTTCCTCAAGCTCTCATTTGTGTCAAATTGGAGAAAATTTGATTTAGTGCAAAATGCTCTGAAAATCCTCATTTTTGAAAAGTATGAGTCCACCTTTTTGCAATTCTGAGAGGCATCAAGTGTGCAGGTTGACGACATGAAAAACGCAAGATTGGAAACACAACAGCACTGATGAGACAAAAGGGGCAAAAGCGATTAAAAAAAGAGAGATAACCAGAGCTCAAACTAATTTCAAAACAACAACAACAACAACAACAACAACAATAAACAGACAAAAAGAAACCCCTAGCGATCATTCCAAAACTTTCTTGTCTAACGCTTCTTTGCCATTGGTCCGCGAGTAGGGCTCAAAGGCGGACGAGCTCAGGTAGCGGGCGGAAAGTTCCTGCAAGTTCCCCGCGAGGGATCCGGCCATGCCAAGCGGGGTGGAGGAGATGCGTGAAGCGACCGACCCGAGCAGAGAGGGCACAGGGAAGCTAAACAGCCCATGGGCAGGCGGAGATCCCTGCAGCCCTGTGACTGTCCCCGAACTGGTCACCGTCGGCAGCGGCGGGCTCCCCCCAGCTGTGCCTGAGCTGGCCGCGCTGCTGCTACTGCTGCTGGAGGAACCTCCATTAGCGGTGATGCCCAGGGACGGCCCACGCAGGGCTGAGCCTAGTGACGAGCTCCCGCAGTGGGGCAGCAGCCCTGGCAGGCCTGGGGGAGTGAGGAGCCGGCCCTGCTCCAGGAGACGCAGGACGCTGCAGGTGGCAGCTGTCTCAGAGACTACGGAGCGCAGCTCGGAATCCTTCCCCTGATCCTTCTTCTGCTTAGTGCGACGATTCTGGAACCACACCTTTACCTGCCGAGAGAACGATATTAGAAATTAAAATAGAACATAAAGCAATGTAATATGGAAAATACAGTAAGCTTGCATAACGCTACTATGTTAATACTACTTCAGATTGATTTAAATATAAATATAAATAATTTATATATTTATATATTTATAAATAAATAAATGAAAATAAATAAAGATAAAGTTTACAAAGTAAAACAATTCTTTAATTTCTTTTAGATAACATTAATTATTCATTTGTAAGTCGCTTTGGATAAAAGCGTCTGCTAAATGACTAAATAAATAAATAAATAATTATAGAAGTCTATTTATAGAAACTATCAAAGTTAAAATGTAATTAGATTAGCAGTGGAAAAGTTTTGTTCTTAATGCACCAATTTAATATGTATTTTGGAGCAGTAAAAAAGCGGGTTAGTTAAAAATAAAAAATAATTTTGAATAAGTGACACCTATTTTGAAATAAAAAAGGTAACTGTAAATATAAACCTATTTAATGAACAAAAACATGCACTTATTCTTTTGAAAAACACCACAACACGAGCTCCTTTTGCAAGGATGGATGGATCAATACTGTTTTGAACCACGTAATTGTGCTGTATCCATTTAATTTAGGATTACAAAGAAAGAGGAATGGCAATTTCCCGATAATACATGTTTAGATCAAGTTCCAATGGCAGAACAAAATCATAATATATATTTATTTTCTATAGAGAAAAGGTGTCCCGCTTTATACTCGCTGTACTGCAAATGATCGATAATAGCTTCAGAGGAATAAGAACAATGAAGTATGACTAACATCTCAGAATTGTGTCATGCAGTTTAACTGTCACATCTATAAAAAAACCCCACTAAAATAAACAGCTTAAATGCGTCACAATAAATATCATAATACTATTTAAATGTTTTGTGATAGATCAAGATGATTAAATAAAGAATATGCTGCTGTTTTAACAAAGTTGCTAGTTACATAAGTGCACGCCTTAACAGTTTCATCAGTGTTGTAATGGAACGCTAAATATTGAGTTATCATCATATTAAACCTGCTATTGTCTCTAAATCACTAAAATGTTCTTTGCAGTTGTTTAATCTCACAATGTTTTGTGGATCCCAAGACCTGGAAGGTCACAAAAAAACAAAACAATGAATTACCAGCAATTCCACCTTTATAAAAACATAATATTTTCCCCGTCGTTCTCGATGCATTCTTGACTCTACCAAATGCATTGCTGGTACACTTTCACAAATGGATGACTTTCCTTGTTTGATCTTTCCACAGAACATTTCGTGTTTCAGAATACGCTGTTAATTTCATGAAGCCGTCATTAAAGAGCACTTCACCCTCCTCATCAGGCGACCAAGAACAGACACGGGAAGCTTTAATGCAATCAAGGTATGGATTTGAACTGCACTGCAGCACGGGGCATTAGAGAGGGCATTAGTGAAGCTAACTCTATTGTGCTCCCTGTGTTCGCAGCACCGATCTGCCTCAGGGCTTTAAATGTCTTCATTTCGCCCCACAGGACAGCAGAAGAATTTTAAAGTCATTAGTTGGGTGATGATGTGATAGAATGTGACAGTTCAAATGGCCAATAGAATTAGAAACTTTGAGACAGCATTGTCGGTTTGCAGGTGTTCAGGGTGTTTAACTAGGGGAGCTCCGATCAATATATGACTGAAAAACTGAGCGGTAAAATGAGAAAAAGTAGATGTATATTATTGCCATCATGTCTTTTTTTTCTTAATAAATATAGTACTTGGTCATGCATGAACATGATTACTAATGAATAAACAAATAGAAATGTGGGTTCCAAAATTAGCCTTATTGCAGTCAGAGTTTCCCCGCACTGCAGATTATCCGACACGTAGAGAGAGAGAGAGAGAGAGGGATAAATCGAGGCCGAGAGAGAGAGAGAGTGCATGTACAGTTCAGTCATGTAATCTCAAACTCGTGACCTCTTGCTGACCCCTGCGCAAAGCATGTGCCGCAAATGCATCGCTGGGCTTATTTTTGTATAGCGGGCATTTATGCCACTGACAAACCATCACACTATTGCACTGATGGTGAGGGCAGAAAAAAGGGAATTATCCGAGAAAATGTCAGGAAGATGTGATCGGATCACTGATGTTTTAAGTGGTCTGAAGGGATGCCACAGGATGATCAAAATGCAAATTAAATAAAGATCAAAATCGTATAGTCAGAACAGCTTGTTACCAGGTGGCTCTGTGTCTTTGCATTTGTACAGAGCATCAACAATACATTTTAATTACATTAAATAATATTTATCATTATGCGTCAGACATGCGTCACAAGGATAAATATGTTTGGGAGAGTCAATTTGTGTGATTATTTTTGTGTTTTTATTGTACTGGTTAATTTCAGTAGTATTTATAATGATTGTTTTATTTCTATGTAATTGTATTTGTGTGTATGGATATGTGCATTTGATTGTGTACCTGAGTTTCAGACAGGTTAAGTTGTCGAGCAAGTTCGGTTCGTTCTCGTCCCACAACATACTGGCACCGCTGAAACTCCATCTCCAGTCTGTACAGCTGTTCTGCTGTGAACGAGGTCCTAGTACGCTTTGGTCGGTCTAGATCCAATCCCTTGGGGAGAATAATCTCTCGAATTGAACCTTTGGCATCTAAATGTGATAAGAAAATATTTTCAGCAAATTGTCATACCTGCTATAAGATTATCGTTAAAATACCTGTACATATAATTAGAAGAAACCATTATATTATTTAAAAAATGTAATATAGGTAGTCATGCAAAACATATTAATAAACATAGCACAATTTTTGCGGCTAAATAACCAACAAAACATAAGACATTTTTAATCAAGAAAATTATTTTTCCGCCACAAGCTGTTAAAAATGTCACAGTTTTGTAGGCATATCATGGCACATCAATGCCAAACAAATGCAGACTAGACTCTTATTATTTTAGTAATTAAAACAAAAATTTGTTATTTTAAATACTAACAATTCATCAGGTAGGAAAATAGTGTTGACTAAAATAAAAAGTTAAATTAAAGCTCAAAGCATTTCAAAATAGTAGTTAACACAAAATAGTCTGTCAAATCATACTGCAAAACAATTTTGTATTTTTCTGTCTTTTGCATATGTCATAAATATTTCTAATGGGTCTTCTATCTCTGAACGGATTAAATGATTACTAAAAATATTGAATAATCAAGTATTTAATAAAGTAAATGCACAAAAACTGGGAGATAAATGCGTGGTTTAAAAACGAAATAATAAAATATCTAAAAAAATACACCAAACATGTTAGCTGGTGAGTTATTAAAGTTATTATGTTTGTTGTTATTTGTGTCTTTGTGATGTGCAGAACCGTACTCCAGCATTCTTAGCAAAAAATTAAGCAATAAATACATTCTTAAAAAAATTAGTTAAGCTTTGTGACAACTTCAAGATCATTTAAAAAAAAACACACACACACACACTCACACACACTGGTCTCCATAATTATTCAAATCCAGATACTGAATAATTGTTTTGGCTGCTGAATTGTGACTGAAGAAATTACACAATAATTTCATCAGGTTAATTTCCTCATATTTCAGCAGGCCTCCGAGACTGACCTAGATTTAGCTTCACAACCTAAATAAATGAATGGAGCTGATTGCTCTCCAGAATTTCACAATCAGCTGACACAAGCAGGAGGGGCTCCACAACTATCTTAGTAATTTAACACAAATACAGACAAGCAGCTTTTAGCCAAATTGTTGCAAAAACATAATATTATCTTTAAAAAAAAAAAAAAAACTTAATGTTAATGATTCATTTACAGATACATTTCTGTGCATGCTCCACAATCTCAATGATACTGTTCAAGGAAAAACAAAAAAGAATATCCATTCAAATATTTTAGTAAATAAAAAACGGAATGTAACAGAATACTTAAAAAGTAACAGAATGCTTATTTTTTTGATGATGGAGAAAAAGCACTGAAACTTATATATAAAAAGGCAGAGATGATAAGTCTATCTAAAAATGATAACCAACATAATCAGCTATGCAAAAAAAGTTACATTTTTCATTATGTATAAAAAGAACAAAACAATTTCTTAAATCACAGAAACTGTACTGTAAAGAAATCAAACTTTCACAAATATATAGTATAGAGCTAAAGTATTTTCCAGATTTGATAATTATTCTATTTATTTTCGTGTTTAAGTCCATAATAGTAATAATTATTTGATATTCTTTTAAATAGCATTTGCAAATATTTGCAGCGGAGAAATTGGATCAGAAAGCTATGAGACACCCCATAAGAGCTGACAAAATAACAATCATAATTTTTTTCCTTCAAAACAGAACAAGTTTTGTCCAGTTCTCAATTCAGCGTAGATCAATTTGCATCATGTACACTTGTGCATGCTCAAATCTATACACTCACTCATGGAGGGAAAAAACAAAACAAAACAAAACCAGCGACTCAGAAGAACTATCACAAAAAGCAAAATTTTAAAGTTCCCGTTAAGTAGATTTCCTGTTTTTTTGTGGAGTACAAAATATACAGAAAGCTCCACGGGAGTGTTTTTAAACTTACCCCGAACTAGAATCCTCCGGCAGTAATCAGGATCTCCTGAGCTCGTCCGGCTCTTTTCGCAGTTTTCCACCGGTCCGGATGGAGAGAAGGACTCCTGCTGGTCCTTCAGGAACGTTTTTGAAATGTTCCCCTGGGAATCCTTTACCTCTTTCCCCTCTTTTAGTCCATTCTTCAGCAACATTCCGGACTCTGAGTCTTGGCTGTAGCGGACTTCCATAGTCTCTTATCCTCTACGACGATTTCACCTTCTTTTTCTCCTTGTTGGGAAGAAATAACTATTCGGGTATGGACACACACTGCTTATTCTGGGTAATATAGGTTTGGTCTTTCTGTAAAACAGCAGCTTGGAGTCGAAGTCAGATAGCTAATGTGTCACCAGCACTTGCCCGGTCCACTGATCTGCCCTATTATCTCTGTGCAGAATCACTTGCCCAATGATCATAGACTTCTCACCCAAATTCAACAGCAATTTAACAACTCCTCTCCTTGTAACATTCACATCAGGCTGATCTCTGGGTAATCAGAGCTGTGGACGGACGCATGCTCGCCGCTTCAATTGATTACGGTAATTTTGCTGCCTCCACATTTGCGTAACCTCACGAATACTCTAAACTGTTTGGGAAATACACATTGTCCTGATTGAGGGGTCCACTCACTCCGACCCCCCTCTCCGCCCTCGTTCGCAAAGGTTCAAGGGAGATGATTTGCCTCGAATCGCCACCACGCGCAATCACGGACCGCCAGAAAAGTTCCACTTCATTCCTCGATGCCCCAGCACTGGCCGTTCCCCTGCTCTCAGGCTGTAGATGTTTGGTCGGGCTAACTTTACGAACAGGCTGGCGAATCTCCCCCCGGATAACGGCCCGATACCACACGCTGCACCCTCGGAGCTAATACAACCAAAGAGCGAAAAGAGAGAGAGGGAAAGATCGGTGGAGAGCAAAGACAGAGAGAGAGAGAGAGAGAGAGAGAGAGAGAGAGAGAAAAAGAATGAGGGAGGCGGAGAGACCTGGAATACGAAAAAAATGGAATCCACTTCGCTTGGAATCTGTAGTGGTAATGAACACGGATTGACAAAAGAAAGAGATGAACACAAGGGAACTCTGTCAAACGAGGGACAGTGCGCACAACCACCCTGAGTTACCCAGCACCTCTAATGCAAACCCCAACCCAATGCTACCATCACTCAGCCCCCTTACCCTACAAGAAACCTGTTAAAGCACCGCTAAAAAACTCAACCTGCCCAAGATCCCAACGCTAACCCCCAAAGCGACCCCCCCTCCTCCACCCC